TGAATGCTAGAAAGTCTGCATTCATTTGGATTTACATAAGCACTCATCATCTAGCTGATGTGCTTATAAGCTTATTAAGAATGAAAAAAATCACTAAGGAATATATAGATGCTTCAAATGGTATAAAGTCTGCATTCGTTTGGATTTAGATAAACACTCATCATCAATATAATTCATTTGTGTATGCTATGTATGCATGTTTCATTGAAGAATAATTATTTGATTCTTGGTAATATAGAATTGAACACTTAGTACAAAAAATCCAAATCTTTTCTTCCGCCTATTGTCTGCCACATGTAAGATGTTATTGCGCTTTTAGTTTCTTTTTTGTTTGCAGATATTTGATTTTGTTTCCTATGTAGGGGGAGCTGGTTGCAACAGTACAGGCTTTAGATCCTACAGATGGAGATAGACTTGAAAAGGAGAAGCAAGCCTACGTCAAAGTTCTTGGGAAGAGGCCCAAATATATTTGTGGCTTGGGGTATGGAGTGAAACCCCCACCAGCCCGTCCTAATGCGGAGCTAGAGAATGAAAGAAGACTTAGGATTGCAGCTGAAAAGAAATATGCTAATGCTATTGAAGTAATCAAGGATATGGAAACCAATATGGAGCAAAGATTAGAAGCTAAGATGAGTATGATTCTAAAGGGGTTGCTCTCTCAAAGCAATGTTCCACCACCAAGCTCTCCATAGGAAACAATTGTGACTGAATATATGGAAACAATATTTGTGGCTTGGGTGATCATTATTTTTGTTGAATATGTGTTGATTATAAGCTTTTGATCATTATTACATATGCTACTGAATTGTATTTTTGTTATAAATATCGGTTTGGTTATGATCCATTTTTGTTGTTATAAATATCGGTTTGGTGATGATCCATTTTTGTTGGTATTGAATCTCAGGGACCAATTTTTGTTGAATTGTGATTGATATGGAATATATGCTACTGCTTTGCATCTAGAATATTTAAAATATAATTTTTATCCCTTTTGCGACACCAAAGAGAGTCAGTAATAAGTTGTTTTGAGTTACAATAGCCACTGTATCTTCGACAGAACTTGGTGTCAGAACTGTGTAGGCTTTTGTGACTCCATATAAGGAGTCGCAAATAAGAGGCTATTTTCGACGCCCTATTGTGTCATAAATACCAACATATTAGCGACGCTAGGTTGGCGTCAGTAATAGGGTTATTTCCGACCCCTTTAGGGGGTCGGAAATTAGTACAGCTTTTGCGACTCCAATATTCACAACGCTAAATAGACGTCAATAATAGCGTTATTTCCGACCCCCATAAGGAGTCGGAAATTCATATGGCATTTGCGACCCAACCATTGCCGACACAAGATACAACCCCTATTTGGGGTCGTTAATACCCTTTTACAACACTACTTTTTGGCTTTTACGATGCCTTTTGGGGTCGGAAATAACACCATTTGTTGTAGTGGGTGTAGTCAGAGAAGTATCTTCAACATAAATCTCTTTCTATGTATATATATTTAAATTTCGTTTCGGCGAACAAGGTTAAAGGAGGAGAAGAAGATAAAAGAATATCTTTTCTTGGTCTCTCTTCAATTTCGGGTATCTTTCATATAATTGTTTAGTGTTTCTTCCTACCAAATAAGGGTTTATGTATCTTTATGTCAGCTTATGCATTCTCTTATTGTGTTATATTTAGATTTGGAAGAAATTTGATTTACTAGCTTTTATGACATATAGAAGAAATTTGAATTAATTAAAAAATAATTAATTTTGACTCACATATTTCTTGTTCTTTTAATTTTGGCTACCAAAAGTTAACAATTAAAATCAATTGAACTGTGACTGATTAATGTATTATGCTCAGCGATCTTATTTTATACATGGGTTTGTGGCTCAGCTTGTGAATTTGTAGGAAAAAGAATGGAACAATGGCATGATAGTTGCTTACTTGAACATATAGTTATTAGGAAATCAATCTCTAGTGTATATTTTCTTTTACTACTACAGTTGTGTAGAATCTGGCTGACGTAGGTTGATAGTGTTGTAACTAAAACAAATTGATATTATGAATAAACGACTCTGTGAATACTTTCTTCTTGCTATTGCAAATATATTCTTTTAGATAGCTAAGTTGAGGATCACAAAATGGCTTGATACTTTGATATAAGGATGGTAAAATGGGTCAGGAACTATCAACCTGTTCATATCTGTCCGTTTTTTTAATGATTATCGGTGAATCATATTTAATTTGAGAGTCAAAGTGAGTTGGGTGATTTTTACCACTTAATTCGAGGGTCAAGATGGGTTGAATATAGTTAACCATATTAAATCCATATTTCACCCCTCACATAATAAACACATAACACACATCTATTATATATTACATTCAACTCATTCCTCTCTCTAAAAATCTCTCACTCACAATTCTCTCTCCTAAATTTGTCTATTATCAATCCCCTCTCTTTAGAAATTTCTTGTAAAAAAAAAATAATAATAATTAAAAAATAATTTTAAAAATAATTAAAAATAATTTTAATAATTAAAAAATAAAAAATAAAAAAATAAAAATTTTAAAACCTTTAGAAAAAAAATAATTAATTTTTTTTAAAAAAAATTAAATAATAAAAAATAAATAAATATTTAAAAATAAATAAAAACTGGTTAAAATAAATGCAAAGGCAAAATGGAGGGAATGTGTCAAATCCAACTCATCTTCCTTGGCTATTTGATGCTTTGCATGCATTGTGTTTTCGTATGGCCAATTCATTGCGATATATGTGAGATGTACTTATATTTTGAGCTGCTACAAAGCTGTACTCATATATATATGTGTGTGTGTGTGAAAGCCATTATAACGGTCAGCTTGTAATTAATTACCATGCAGATAAGAAGTCAAGGAACCAATCTGAATTGTATATAGATAACAATAATTGCTTGTGCATGCCACACAAACCTCTAGGCATTGCCCCCCGCTCTCTCTCTCTCTCTCTCTATATATATATATATATATATGTATGTATACCAAATCATGGCCGGACTACACATACTGACTAGAATTGGTCTAAATAACATTGTTTTGGGAGTAATGTGGCACAATAAAAATGGACACGTTCATTTTATTATTGTGTTGCATCTGCTGTGAGGAGACAATTGTTGTTCTATAAGCCCCCAATTGAGCTGCGGCAACTATGAGCCCCAATTTATGTAAAAGGTTGCTGATTGAAGGGGGAAGAAAATAATTTCTCATGCTTTAGTTTCAGAAAATGATTGTTGTAGTGAAAAACAATCAACCAAAATAAGAGACCAAATAGCTGGTAGTCCATTTGAGGCATTTATGTAGGACTCATTTGGTGTCCCTCCCTAATGTATTAAATGGCTACCAAATCATTCGGTATGCTTATTGGAATGATTGTGAGTCTGTAACTCTGAAAATAGTGTGATTCTTTTGTTTTAGTTCTGAAATATAAATAATTCTTACTGATTCACAAAAGTCAAGTGAAAAAAAAATAATAATAAAATAAACAAAACAAAAAACTTCAAGGATTTAAAATAAAAAAAGTTAAAAAAAATCATTGAGGATTTTAAACAAAAAAAAAAAAAAAAAACTTTGAGGCTTTTAACAATGACTACTTATTATAAGATGACATAAAACCCAGCAATATTCATAACAACTTGAGCTCATAATTCATGGTGTTTTATTATTCAACAAGCTCTTAGACATTGATTTGTTTTGCAAATTTATATATTTGGTAACTTTGAACACCAATAGCAATTGCGTATTGCTTGATTTATTTATTTATTTTTTTGTAACGAATAATCAATCGCCACAGTTCACGAATTGGTAGTTCACAATAAGGTGGCCCTGGGCATATCCTCTTCCATCTGTGTCTAGTGTCGTGAACACACCGGCATCCAAATCTAGCCCTCCATTGCTGCATTGATCAACAAATCCTGACCGTTACTTGAGCTCCGGTGCCTGTGTTTGTGACCTGCCCATATCATTTCAAGAATTTTGTCAATTTCTTTTAATTTGTCCCATCATATACACATTCACACATCTATGTTGGTTTGCCATGCATTTTGCTTCTAAACTTACCAAGTTAAAACAATGTTGTCAATTTTAAAGTTAGATAAGATAACATGATCTTAATAAGATTTCCTGATATTGTTCATTTGTTCTAAAAATATAATATGAAAATGATATATAACAGCCCCACTTAACATGATCTTAGCATGTTAATTGAAAGGAAACTTCAGTTTATTGATGGAGTGGTTCTACAAGAAGGTTCTGTTTGTTTGGATGTAAAATATTTTTTTTAAAATATTTTTTTATTTTTTGGTGTTTGGTTGGCGTAAAATATTTATGAAGAAAAAATATATTAAAATTTTACAAAAATAATATATCTATTAATTTTTGTTAAGTTATTTTATACATCTTGCTTGAAGGACTCGACCTAGACTTTTGTCAAATACTGAAAAATACAAATAAAAAAAATATTTTACTTATAAAATGAAAATGAAAAAATATTTTCCCTAAAAAACGAAGCCGAAAAGGATAAATTTTACCCTAATTTGTGTAAGTACCCTAACTTTTGTATATTATTTCTATTCACAAAATTTATATAATAAGTTGATTCCAAATAATTGTTTTTTTTTTTTGGTAACTATCATTAAAAAAACTTGCATAAAACCAGAAGCCAATAAAACCTTTGGCAAAAATGAACGGGACTAATTAAATTCAGGCCGACCAATCACAAGGTTGATAGGTCCCACCATTTCTTAGAATAATAATTCAACTCGCTTTATAGTAAATGAATAATAACTTTTATTCAAAATCCATTTTTTAGGTCGGGATATGTAATTGAAAGTTTTTATTCTTTTGCTGTAGTGGGTATATAAAATACATGTTTGGCTCTATATGTAACATCAAAAGGATAAAAACCTCCCGTTAAAAACATAGGTTTAAGAAATCGGTTAGAATATAATTAAACGCAGAGATTGTTAGTAGAGAGTTTAGACTTAAACACTTGCCGCAGGACGCCTGGCCAGTCGGCCAACAGGGCCACAAAAGGCAGTCCAGCCATACTTTTTACGCCATGCCAAGGGTTTGCCAGCATCCCAAGTGGACCAGTAACTAACAGCATTCAAGTCCCATCCATTCTGCTCAGGATTATAGTAGTGGTACGTGGCTCTCACATTAGTAGCACTCTCTTCACCACCACTGCCACCGCCGGAGTTGCAATTGCTTTGACAGTTATTGGAAGGTAAGCAATAGTCATCGGTTGTACCACAGTAACCATATTGGCTACAGCAAAGGTTGTTGGCGCAGGTTGCGCCACCAGCTTGCTGGCCACATTGTTGGGCCGTGGCAACAGCAGCCACTAGACAAAGTGAGACAATCGTGCATAGGAATGACTTTCCCATCTCTCTGTGTATTGATTTTTGGTTTTGTGAAGTATGGTGGGAAAATTGCTTCAATTTATAGAGAGAGAGGGGTTTGTTTGATCGATATGTATAACCAAAATAAATAAATACCTATTTTTACATGTTATATAAAAAATGTGAAAAAAAAAAAACGTCCCTGTTCTTTAATATATACCTATAAACCTCTAACATTTAAAAATATCTGCAAATTGCCCCTATTTGCACCCCTAATATATGTTGACCATCAATTTTGACTATTTTTTTTGAAAAAAAACCCCAAAATACGCATATTGTATCTTAAAAATTGAAATCAATTATTTATTTTTTGTCTTAAGAGCATTTTAAGTATTTCAATCTTCAAATTGATAAAATATCTTTATTTGTCAATATGAAAAATGTAGGGTTTTTTTTTTTTTTAATACCAGGGATGATTTGCACATTCGGTGTATAAAGTAATTTTGTGCACATTACTCTAAAAACAATGTTTTGTTTGGTCGGAAAGGAAGAGGAAGAATGGAAGATGTTTCTCTCGTTTGTCTGCCAGGAAAGAAAGAGAGGGAAAAAGAAGGAAAGGATGGACCATCCCTCCTTGCCCACGTTTTTCATTCTTCCAAAATTGGATGGAAGAGAGAAGGAAAAGAGAAAAAAAATTGTTGCATAAATATGAAATTTTTACCCTACAAATACTAACCAAATTACTTGATATTAGTTTATATAAAGCCTATTTGAGTTTTCTCAGGTTATTTTGGTTGTCCAAAATTTTAAATCGAGGCAAGTTTATTAAGTTATCTAGGTAAATATAACATACTAATAAAAACAAAAAAACACATAATTTATCTATGCATTAAACCATTCCACTGTATTCGTATAACTTGTAGATTTAAGTGTACCATGTTACATTAACTTGTGATAATATCATTTTTTTGTCACAAAAATAATATCATATTAAACATCTAAAATTTATGAACTTTTTATACTTCTGGTTGCTTGGACAGGAGAAACTCTTGCCCAAGTACCGCTCAAAAGGAAATGTGTTCAATAGTGTACCATGTTACATTAATTTGTGATAATATCATTTTTTTATCACAAAAATAATATCATATTAAACATCTAAAATTTATGAAGTTTTTTATACTTCTGGTTGCTTGGACAGGAGAAACTCTTGCCAGAGTACCGCTTAAAAGGAATTGTGTTCAATAGCTGAATTTTTACTATACCTAATTTTAGCACTGTCCAAAAAAAAAATTATATTACTAATATTAGCCTACTCAAAAAATTATTAACCTATCTTATTGACAATTCCCATGTTCAGTTTGAGATCTACCCACCTTCTAGTCAAGTCCTCATGTTGCAGTCTACTGTCATCCTTCTGGAATAATTCTAAACTTGCAGATTTAATGATCAAGTTGAAGACGGTAAGTCAATCCTTGAGACTTGACCAAGTCAAAGTGCATATTGGCCATTTGAACATTTCCTCCAAATAACAGGTGCTTTGTTGTCTGGATAGAATATATATATATATATATATATATATATATATATATATATATGGTACTAGTAATTTACCCAAAACAAAAAAATGGTATTAGTAAAAAGTATTTGTGTCATGGTGTAACAACAGTCATTTTATTTACATCGAATTTGGATAAAAAAGTGATTAGTATTAAATGGGTAGGTATGTAACACTACCCAACAGTTTGAGTTTTTGAATAAATGGGTAAGCGCTCACCCGTTATAGTTGATATTAGAGCCAGACCAATCCTTGATCTGGTGTCACGCCAAGCGCCTGGTCTAGAGGGCGTTCGAGTTTGCAGCATGAATAGACATGAGGGTAGAATATAACAAGGGTTATTTGTTCTACATCGAATCCGGATGGAAAAAGGATTGGGTATAAATGAGTGAGTATCAGGGGCGGAGTCAGGATCTGAAAGTAGGGGGTTAAAAAAAAAATTCAAGTAGATGATTTACTGAAAAAAAAAAAAAAAAAATTTCAAACAGAGAAAATAATAATGATAAATCCAACAATATCGATGGTCATTTAAATAATGGTAAATCGAGGTAGCATATGAAAAATTCCTAATTGCAACTAATTTCAGTTAATGACTCAAGTTTGATGTAAAACACTATCAATATTGTGTCCGAGTCTGGTGAATTTTAATTGGTCAATAAATCAAATGTCCGCTAAGAGCAGACTCAGACACAATATTCAAATTCATCAGTTCAATGGCTATCTCAAGATGCCTATTTTTGGTGTCATTAAACTAAACTGGAAGCTTCAAACCAATTAACCGAATCAAAAGCAAGAGCGGCATCATCAAGTTTTGAACCAATAAGCAAACGAATCAAAATGCAATAAGACTGATAGGAATTAATATTACTAATATATATATATTAGTATGACTGATTGGGTTGAGCTATGGCTGATAGGAATTAGTATTACAAATATATATATATATATATATATATATATATATATATATATATATATATATTTCTTTGACCTGAACTATAGCCTAGGTTAGCCCACAGATGGTTCTGCCTCTAATGGATATGTAATACTACCTAATAGCTTGAATTTTTAAATATATGAAAAAATGTTTGCCCATTACACATGGTGTGGTACTCTCTAGCTGTCGAGTCAAATAATAATAAAATAATTATCGTATCCTTTAGTCCTAGCTTGTCTGAATGGAAAAATTGAATGCGGCTCCAAAAATGACCAGATACACAGTTTCTCTTTAGTATTGAAAAGGAGAGAAAAAGAATTACCTATTTTCTTTTAGCCATTGATACTCCACTTTTGTGTGGATAAAACTGTCGTTGTCACCAATTTGTACATTAAAAGTTTTAAGCATATCTGGGATTGAGTTCCATGCAATTTGTTGAATGATTTGTGTGATGAGATATGTTTTTAGGATTTTACAATTCTCACTGAAATCATCTTTATCCGGTGAGAATTCAGCCCCAGCTTTGCTAGAATTTTGAGCAAGAATCCCCATTCAATACGGTCATAGGCTTTCTCATATCAAGTTTAAGAGCCATGTACGCCTTCTTCTTGTCCGTTTATTTTTTAAATAATGGAGGAACTCATGAGTGATAAAAATATTATCCCTCATATGTCGCAACAAAAGCGCTTTGGAATTTGTTAATGATATTATCAACTAGACATTTCAATCAGTTGGTCATATCTTTTGCAATGATTCAGTATGCAACATTACATAAAGAAATTGGTCAAAAAAATTAAATCATGGTGGGAGATTCAATTAATTTTAGGAATAAGAGCAACATTTGTATGATTGAAACAGAAAGCAAATACCCAGATTGAAAAAAATTATATACAGCTGCCACCATGTCACCTTAAATCGCCTCCCACTATCGTTGATAGAATAATGAAGTCATCCCATTCGGCCTAGGAGCTTTGAAAGGAGCCATTCCAAAGACAACTTGTTTGACGTCAAGCTCCGTAAGTGGCACCAACAATGATTAATTCATCTCAGGGGATATTAGATAGGGAATGTATCTAAAAAACTTTTAAATCCCAGTAAGATTTTGAGACTGAAATAATTGTTGGTAATGTCTCAAAAAAATAGAATGGATTGTGCTATCCTCTTCTTGCCACACACCCTGTTCATCCATGGTACCAGATATAGAGTTCCTAGCCCTTCGTCTCTTTGTAGCAGCATGAAAGAATTTTGTTCAAAAAGTTCTAAAACATTATTGTAAGAATTCTTTTAATTAATTATAAATAAATTCTTAAGAAATTAATTTTTCAAAATGTTGACTTTCAATAAATTAAGATTTAAAGAAAAGAAGTTGAAAAGAAAAATTTATCGTATTATATATAATATATTTAAAATATAAATATAAATAAATGATTAGAATTCAAGTTTGAGTTCAGTTCCAATTGATAATACCTCAACCTAAATCCAATTTTATTAAAATTTGAACTGAGTTTTTTCAATAAAGATCACCCATCTAACCTTGTTAACAAAATTATTGCTTAAACTCGTGAAAAATCGAACGGTCTCGGATTGGATTCTGGTTAGCCCATTCAAATTGCACCCTGGCACAACTTTCAGTTCTTCATTGAAAATAAAAACTATACTTCAATTTTTTTATTTTTATTTGGATAACTGGATATCTTCACTTGGACTAACCCCTTAGGACCCACGTAGGCACCTCCCACCCCCAAAAACTGTTTATTTTATGCGGAGAATCGATGGGAAAAAATATCATCCACTTTCCCAACAATTTTCCTTTTCTTCATGTCCTAACTCGGTAAGAGTTTTAAATCTCTTCCGAATCTACCTAATGCACCTTATTGGTTTAACTTCAGACTGAGGCGCTGGTGTAGTCAGAGAAGTATCTTCAACATAAATCTCTTTCTATCTATATATTTTAAAATTTCGTTTCGGGGAACAAGGTTAAAGGAGGAGAAGAAGATAAAAGAATCTCTTTTCTTGGTCTCTTCAATCTCGGGTATCTTTTATTTAATTGTTTAGTTTTTCTTCCTACCAAATAAGGGTTTATGTATCTTTATGTCAGCTTATGCATTGTGTTGTGTTATATTTAGATCTGGAAGAAATTTGATTTACTTGCTTTTATGACATATAGAAGAAATTTGAATTAATTAAAAATAATTAATTTTGACTCATATATTTCTTGTTCTTTTAATTTTGGCTACCAAAAGTTAACAAAATCAATTGAACTGTGCCTGATTAATGCATTATGTTCAGTGATCTTATTTTATACATTGGTTTCTAGCTCAGCTTGAGAATTTGTTGGAAAAATAATGAAACAATGTGACATAGGATTACCTTGAACTCACAAAGTGGTATCGCTTGAATTCACAAAGTGGTGTGGTTTGAATCCACAAACTAGAAGAAAATTCAGAGAGGAATCTGATAATATATTAATTGAAAAAAAAAAACAAATAAACCTAATTAAAAATTTACTAAAATCTGTCCTACATCACAACGGCATGATAGTTGCTTACAAATGGTTATTATGAAATCAATCTCTCGTGTATATTTTCTTTTAGTAC